AGATTGCGAGTCGAGTGCCTTAACCATGCCGGGCCTGGTTTGTTGTTAAGCGCAAAGCTACACAACAGGCTATCTGTGCTCTGGCCATAGCGGGTGGCCTCGCATGGCCAGGTGGTTAGGGCGCTCGACTCGCAATCTGTGGGTCGCGGGTTCGAATCTACCGTCCCACCAAACATGCTCGCTCTTTCAGCTGTGGGGGCGTTATAATGTGACGGTCAATCCCACTATTCGTTAGTAAAAGAGTAGCCTAAGAGATGACGGTGGGTGGTGATGACTAGCTGCCTTTCCTCTAGTCTTACACTGTGGAATTAAGGACGGCTAGCTCAGATAGTCCTCGTGTAGCCTTGCGCGAAATTCAAAACAAACAAACCCACCCCTGGTATTGAAAAAAGTTCCCGTTATAAGCCTTAAAACTTACCGCTGCGCCACCAGGGAGAATTTACAGTAGTTTAAGTTGACGATACCTTTATTTATTTTTAATGCTTGATAATTTTGATTTGGTTGTTGTCAAGCTCAAAGCTACACTGAGGACTATCTGTGCTCTGCCCTCTACGGGTATCGAAACCCGATTTTTTAGCATTATAAGTCTGCAGAGCCAATGGTTAGGCGCACGCCAGCTTGAGAAAAAAAAACAAGCAACGGTTTTTTCATCATCCGTAGATCTTTTCCGGAATCAGTGAAATAATTGTTTTTTTATTTATTTTGATCGTTGGACTATTTTATGTAGATAAGCACAGAAAAATATTATATTTACATTCTGGTGAGTTTTATTAGTATATCTATGGAATTTGGGTATTCCTTACTAACTAAATAATTGGAATAGAATATTACTACTCACCTTTTTAAGTTTCTAACACTAGGGGTAGTTTGACGTCATTCCTTTTTTTCACTGGAAAGCTACCGTTGTTATAATATCTTGTTCGACGATAGTGTTGATTATTTCAACACTGTGGCGTAAGGCTTAAAAGTAAAGTTGTATCCTATTTTTCAAACGATTGATTTTAATACCGTTCCACAGTCGTTTCAACCTTTACTTTTGTTGTCTCCAGATTAACATAAATATGTATTTACTCATTAGAAAAGTTCCAAACAGAAAACGCCGCGTCACTAAAACGAGATAAATTACAATATACAGTATAACTTAAGCCTAGATCAAGCATAAATTATACTTTCAATAAATATATTCTCTATGCACTTTGACTGAAATAATTCCTCTTAAAAGAACATATATCGTGAATGATTTCCTTTACAACTTTACCTCTTTAACTATACGCAATGGGAAGAATCCACCACTTGGTTCGTAGTTGTCGAGTGTTGATGTTTCAATTTCGCAACTGGAGAGATGAAAACCATCCATTGGCAGAATATCCGTTACGCAAGAGTATAGATAGATCTTGTGAGTTCCCAGCGCCACCCAGACCCTGTTAAGTTATTATATCGTTTAAATCCTACAATAAACGTAAACAAATAGTATTATATATATACACAGAGAGAGAGACAGAGAAAAAAAACCTTTACATTCACTCATATCGTTAGCTGAAAGTATAAATGGATCCGATTCTAGTGTTGTGTTTTATTAACCTCTTCGTTTTAATATAAGGATTTTAGTGTGAAAGGATATTAGATGATTAACGTTTTACAATTCACTCATATCATTAGCTGAAAGTATAAATGGATCCGATTCTAGTGTTGTGTTTTATTAACCTCTTCGTTTTAATATAAGGATTTTAGTGTGAAAGGATATTAGATAATTAACGTTTTACAATCACTCATATCATTAGCTGAAAGTATAAATGGATCCGATTCTAGTGTTGTGTTTTATTAACCTCTTCGTTTTAATATAAGGAGTTTAGTGTGAAAGGATATTAAATGATTAACGTTTTACAATCACTCATATCATTAGCTGAAAGTATAAATGGATCCGATTCTAGTGTTGTATTTTATTAACCTCTTCGTTTTAATATAAGGAGTTTAGTGTGAAAGGATATTAAATGATTAACGTTTTACATTCACTCATATCATTAGCTGAAAGTATAAATGGATCCGATTCTAGTGTTGTATTTTATTAACCTCTTCGTTTTAATATAAGGATTTTAGTGTGAAAGGATATTAGATAATTAACGTTTTACAATCACTCATATCATTAGCTGAAAGTATAAATGGATCCGATTCTAGAGTTGTATTTTATTAACCTCTTCGTTTTAATATAAGGATTTTAACGTGAAAGGATATTAGATGATTAACGTTTTACATTCACTCATATCATTAGCTGAAAGTATAAATAGATCCGATTCTAGTGTTGTGTTTTATTAACCTCTTTGTTTTAATATAAGGATTTTAGTGTGAAAGGATATTAGATAATTAACGTTTTAAATTCACTCATATCATTAGCTGAAAGTAAAAATGGATCCGATTCTAGTGTTGTGTTTTATTAACCTCTTCGTTTTAATATAAGGATTTTAGTGTGAAAGGATATTAGATGATTAACGTTTTACAATCACTCATATCATTAGCTGAAAGTATAAATGGATCCGATTCTAGAGTTGTATTTTCTAAATTAAGATAAATAAACAAATCCATAAAAATATACGCCTCAAAACAATATCCATGTTATTTATTTAATCCTATGAGAAAAAAACAAAAACAACAACATGATGTGAATCTAACATCTCAGAATGTAAATAACATTTGTTTTAATATCTGTTTACCTGTCACGACACCTCGTGTGAAGAATTAACAAAAAGAGTAAAAATCACCCAATATATACGTAAAGCGCACAGGACACCTGAGCAGTAGTTCGTGACTCGTGTATTTTTAGGGTCTCTCTAACCATCAAAATCATGACTACTAAGTTTGGTACATAGATAGTTAAACATCAATGACAAAACACTAGCTGAATTCTGTGGCTGATTAAGGTAGTTTAATTTTTTTTCGGGACTAAATTTCTCTTTCCACCTCTTAAAAAAACTAGTTGATTTAAATGGAATAGTTTTTACTTTGTAGTAGCAAGGATGAATCCATTATCAGCAGTTTACTCCAAGGAAATCATTCGGAAAGCTTAATTTATTAACGTACAGCTCCGACTGGAAAAAATAGGATGTAGTTGTTGTTACAAAATTTTACTTCAAGGAAATCATTCGGAAAGTTTAATTTATTAACGTACAGCTCCGACTGGAAAAAATAGGATGTAGTTGTTTTTATAAAATTTTACTTCAAGGAAATCATTCGGAAAAAATGGGAAGTTTTTAATCTCGTTTTGGATAATTTGATTACAAGAGATTATTAGAGAGATAATCCGAGATTTTCGGTATACGATAGGTCACTAATCAAGTATTAATAATTATTGAGATTAGTATAAAACAGATTGTAGTCGATCGGAATATACTATTGCTACCTTACCTCAAAATAATTTCGGCATTTTTATACAGATACATGTATCCCTCTTTTACAACATCCGATCGCACTGGTAGTTTTGTATCTTCCACATCTGAAAAGCTAAGCGAGACTTGTTCGGAACCTCTCGGGTACTGTCGTACATTACTCGTTTCCGATTCCATATACAAGAACTTAGGTTGTCTTTCTCCACTAATAGAGCTAATGGTCAAGTTTTCGGTTGACCGGCTTATGGACAATCGCTGATCCTTTCTTATAGTAGATTGCATTTCTGTGGAAATAGCAACAAACGTTTTCTTAATGTGTGTGTGTCTTGCATTAAAAGCTCACTGTATAAATATTTCAGTGTTCGTAAAATCAAATATCATCTTCTACTCGTTCTTTTCCAATAGTCTACAAGCTTCAAAAATAACCATTTTTTAACACGTACAACGACTAAGTCATAAAACAAGAGATCAAGATGTATCATAGCCAATACGGGCATATTTTATATCCAAGTTTTATTTACATTATCCAGAAAACTTATAACTGGGGTAAGTGAATTTATAAAAGATTGAAGAGGGTACATTTTTTTTCTTTTTAGAATTGTTTGCTTGTTTGTAATTAAGCCCAAAGCTACACTATGGGCTATCTGTGCCCTGCCCACCACGGGTATCGAAACCCTGTTTCTAGCGTTTTAAGTCCGCAGACATATCGCTGTGTCACTGGGGGGTCTTTTAGAAATGAATTGGTATACATATGTTACGAAATAATCTTACAGTGGGAAAACAAGTACCTATATTGGTAATCAAAGGGATAAACAAACAATTAGCAACTTTATTTAACCAGTTCCCTTGGGGCACAGTGGACTTACAAAGCTAGAAACCCGGTTTCGATACCCGTGGTGAGCAGAGCACCGATAGCCCATTGTGTAGCTTTGTACTTAATTATAAAACAAACAAACAATCCCTAGTGGCACAGCGGTATGTCTGTGGACT